AGAAGCGCAGGCGCCGACGGCGCTCAGCCTCCCCACCCCCGGCTGCATCTTCCTCTTCATCCTCGCGGCGTGAGCGGCACCGTGGCAAGCGCCGCGAGGGTGGCAAGAAGAAGAAGAAGCGATCGCGCTCACGGGCCGAGAAGCGCGCTGGGGACGTGGAGAAGTTGCCTGCACCTGGGCCACCCTCAGGGTCTGACCGTGACAGCCGGCGCCGTGGGGCCGTGCCGCCCTCTATCCAGGACCTCACCGACCACGACCTGTTTGCCATCAAGCGGACCATCACGGTGGGCCGCCCAGACAAGGCAGAGCCGCGTGCACCTTCGCCAGCACCTGCCATGTCCCCAAAGCGGGAGGTTCTCTATGACTCTGATGGTCTGAGTGCCGATGAGCGGGGTGGCAAGGGAGACAAGGAGCGGAGGCGTTCAGGGGCTGCATCCTCATCCTCGTCTTCAAGGGAGAAAGGATCTCGACGGAAGGCGCTTGATGGGGGGGACCGGGGCCGAGACAGGGATCGGTCATCCAAGAAGACGCGGCCACCTAAGGACTCAGCGCCTGGTTCGGGGCCACTGCCCAAGGCCCCGCTAAGCAGCGGCTCCTCCTCGTCGTCGTCGTCCTGCTCCTCGCGCAAGGTGAAACTGCAGTCCAAGGTGGCTGTGCTCATCCGAGAGGGGGTCAGCAGTACCACCCCTGCCAAGGACTCCTCCTCTTCAGGCCTGGGCTCCATTGGGGTCAAGTTTAGCCGAGACCGTGAGAGCCGCTCGCCATTCCTTAAGCCAGATGAGCGGGCTCCTGCAGAGGTGGCCAAGGTGGCCCCTGGCAGCACCAAGCCCAAAAAGACCAAGGCCAAGGCCAAGGCCGGGGCCAAGAAAGCCAAGGGGACCAAGGGGAAGACGAAGCCGTCGAAGACCCGGAAGAAGATCCGCAGCGGAGGCAGTAGCACGGCCAGCGGTGGGCCCGGTTCATTGAAGAAGTCCAAGGCGGACAGCTGCAGCCAGGCAGCCAGTGTCAAGGGGACAGAGGAGACATCATGGTCTGGGGAGGAGCGGACCACCAAGGCCCCCGGTACGCCACCACCTAAGGTAGCCCCCCCCCCACCCGCACTCACCCCGGACTCCCAGACCGTGGACAGCAGCTGCAAGACTCCCGAAGTCTCCTTCCTGCCCGAAGAAGCCGCTGAGGACACTGGGGTCCGAGTAGGGGCGGAGGAGGAGGAGGAAGAGGAGGAGGAGGAGGAAGAGGAGGAGCAGCAGCCTGCTACTACCACAGCCACCAGCACCGCCGCAGCCGCCCCAAGTACGGCTCCCAGTGCCGGGTCTACAGCTGGCGACTCTGGCGCAGAGGATGGGCCAGCCGCTAGGGTCTCCCAGCTGCCCACGCTACCCCCACCCATGCCCTGGAACCTTCCTGCTGGTGTGGACTGCACCACCAGCGGTGTCCTGGCCTGTGAGTCTTGTGAAGTGGGGAGAGGAAAGAAGGGATGGCTGGGTCGGGTTGGGTGGGTGGAGCAGGGCGGAGTCCAGTCCAGTCTGGGACCTGTAGGGAGCAGTGTGAGGTGGCTAGCACAGAGTGCGGAGTTTGAGCAGGGCGCTGGCGGCCGCCTGGCTGGGGGAAAGCTGGGACGAGGGTGGGTCAGGGAGCGGATGTTACTCCACATCGTACTTTGGTCCCCGCCCCTGCATGTACATACACCCCGTGAGTCGTAAGGACATTGGGGTCTGTGGTCTTTTTTTCTGTTGGGAGCTGAGGTTTTACAGTCCTGGGATCAAGTGGGGGCCCTGGCAGCGTCAGAGTCGGGTGAGCTTTGCTACCCATCCCATCCTGATCTGATACCAGCACTGATTGATTGTCATGTCTCTGTCCATTGCAGTGACTGCACTGCTGTTCAAGATGGAAGAGGCCAACCTGGCCAGCCGAGCAAAGGCCCAGGAGCTGATCCAGGCCACCAACCAGGTGGGCTCCCATGGGGAAGAGTCCCCACAGCCCCTTCTTTTGTCCATTGCCTCGGGGTAGGAGAGGAACTACAACTCCCAGCAGGCCTTAGGGCAAGGTATTGGCCAGAAGAGGAGCCTATTGCTCTCTTAACATTGGGAAATTTGAGGGAACAGAGGGGTACAAAAATCCCCTCTTCCCTTCTACCTTCCTTGGCTCATCATACTCTCTTCTCACAGATCCTCAGCCATCGGAAGCCACCCTCCACTCTGGGGGTGACACCAGCTCCTGTACCCACTTCTCTGGGCCTGCCCCCAGGCCCTTCCAGCTACCTGCTTCCTGGCAGCCTCCCCATAGGGGGCTGTGGCTCCACCCCTCCTACCCCCACTGGCCTGGCCCCTGCATCTGACAGGAGAGAGGGCAGCAGCAGCTCAGAGGGGCGCGGCGACACCGACAAGGTGAGGGGACTGGGGACGAGAGAGGGCTAGGTGACCGGGGCAGGGTGCTGGGCGGCCACAAGAGCCAGGGTAGACACGCAGCTCGGTACTGAAGAGGCCCTGGGTTCCACCCTCAGCCCCAGATAGAAAGAACTAACCTGTGTAAAGAATTGAAAGTATTTATAGTTTGTAAACGCACATATGTTTATAAACACCACCTTTAATGTTGCTCCCCACTGTTGTGTAACTGGGGGATGGTGGTTTTTGGAAGAAAATCAAGCACTTAGGGTTGAGCTGGCCATACATAGAGATCAGGCCTGGAGCCCTAGCCTTTGTGAAGACTGAGAGGCAAGGGTGACGGCGTTGCGCCATCCCTGGCTGGAGTGAGGGCCCTGCAGGTGCAAAGGGAGAATGGCGTTTGGCCGCTGCCCCCTGGCCTTGGCCTGCTTCCTTTAAACCCTGTCCAGGTGGCTTTACCTGGTCATGGCCCTGACGTCACTGTCTGAAGGCACTGGCTGCCCATGCTGCGCCTCTCATTGGCTGAGGAACAGGCTTGCATTGAAACAGATGGCCTCAGCTCACCTAGTCCCTGGCTTGTGAACATTCCTTTGCCCTGCCAGCCAGGCCTCTGGCACGGTTTTGTACTGATGATCTTCTCTTGGCAAGTGTGTGGTGTAGTGTAGCAAGCAGCCCCTTTTATGTTACAGAGCTGAAACTGGCTCTGCCTGTAGCTGGGACCAAAGCAGGTATTGTAGTGCCCTGCTCTCCGCCTACACGTACCTTGCTGCGGGCCCAGGCTCTGTCCCACCTGTCTCTGGCCTCCATGCACTTGTTTTGGGAAAGCAGCTCTGCCTGTGGTCACGGATGCTGCTTTCCCAGGAAGCTCGGCCTCCCGGCACAGCCCCCCTTTATGGTGTGCCCCGTTTTTCCATGAGTCAGTCACAGGGTCTAGTTCCCCGGTGGTAGAAGACCGGGCCCCCGTGACGCTGACCACCTTAGCAGCCTGAGCCCTGAGCCCAGCCTGTGCTTCTCCAGGCACAGGCGACGTGGACCAGAGCAGAGTGGGAGCAGCCACGCTGGGTGCCCCTGCCACTTCAGAAGGTCCACAGCCAGAATAAGCCTGTCAGGCCTGCTTAGGGAGAGTCCTGACCAGCTGTGTGTGGGACACACGCCTCTGATCCTACCGCTTGAGACTGAGGCAGGAGATTTAAAAGTTGAAGGCAAGAATGGGCCACTTAGAGACACTACCTAGAAAGCAAGCTGGGGCTGGGCGTAGAGCAGCTGCACTCCCAAGCCCCGCCCCGTCCCAGACCCAGCACTGCCTGGAAGGAACAGCATTGTTTGACTGGGTTTGTCTGCCAGCACACTGCCGGGCCTGGCCAGCACAGGGTGAGGGCACTGCAGGTCTCCTCGCCTGCCTGGTCTTTACTGTCCTCGTCCCGTCCCACAGTATCTGAAGAAGCTGCACACACAGGAGCGGGCGGTGGAAGAGGTGAAGTTGGCCATCAAGCCATACTACCAGAAGAAAGACATCACCAAGGAGGAGTACAAGGACATCCTGAGGAAGGCTGTCCACAAGGTGGGATGGGGGCCTGGGTCCCGGAGAGGAGAGGGGTCCAGGGTGGCCGTCACTGAGCCAGGGTGGAGGGTGCCTTGGGCTGGCAGGGACTCAGCTGCCCCTGGCTCCGCAGATCTGCCACAGCAAAAGCGGAGAGATCAACCCTGTCAAGGTGGGCAACCTGGTGAGGGCCTACGTCCAGCGCTACCGCTACTTCCGCAAGCACGGGCGCAAGCCGGGGGACCCCCCAGGACCCCCTCGGCCACCCAAGGAGCCAGGGCCCCCAGACAAGGGTGGCCCAGGCCTGCCCTTGCCCCCTCTCTGAGACTTCATACCCTGTTCCTGCGCCTCCGAGACTCTGGACATATTTATGGCTCCACTTCCTCCACTAACCCCCCAGTGGGGTGATGGGGTCACTGTGAGGAAGAGGACAGCCCCACCCAGCCCTGCCCCTGCCCGTTACCCCGGCCCCGTAGCCTACCCCCAAGGCCTCAGCCCCTGTCATGACCCCTCCAATTTCATTAAAGATTTCATGAAATGTAGCCGGTGTAGTGGTGCACACTTAAGCAGCCCGATCTCAGTTCAAGGACAGCCAGGGCTACAGAGAGATTGTATCTTCATAAAATGCTCTTTTCTTTTCAGGAGGAAAGGGTTGTGGGGGGCAACACGAAGGGGCCACACCAGACCCAGGAATAGGGTGGTGACAGGAGGCAGGGCCCCGCTAGTGACACTGCAGCTGACCCCATTGAGTGGCCTCCGGCGTCAGCAGCTGAGAGGCTGCAGTGGCCCAACCCATGATCCTAGAAGGAAACCGAGGCCAACAAGAGCTGCATGTGAGCCCGTCTGCCCCACAGTGTGTTTTAGCTGCCGTTCATCGCTACCTGGTCCTGCCTGCCTCTTGCTTTCTTTGTGATACTTTCTCCAGGACCTCGGAGAGAGGCCAAGAGCTGGTAGCCTCGTTGTGCCGGCTCGGCTCCTTGTGCCTCACTCACCTACACTCGGCTGCACATGGGAAACACAATGGGCTGCACAATAATCACCAGCTTGGGGTCAGTGTAACACAGACAGACATGTGATGGTGGCATAAACTGCTTTATTGGTGGCCGCGAAGCAGGGGCTTAGGTGTCTCCAGTGGCCTGAAAATCCATGTCCTCCACCAAGTCCTGGAGGTAGGCCTTGTATTGGTCAGAAGTGAGGGAGATAGGCTGGCTATTGGAGATGTGCAAGTCCACGGTTCTCAGAGAGGAGGCTCCCCCTTCCCGGGCCATCTCTAACAGCTCCTTGAGACACGTGGGAACAACCTACACAGGGGCAGGAAGGAGCCAGGGTAAATCTCCAAACAGCTGCAAGCCCCCAGCACAGCACAGGGTGGACCTTCCCTCAGCCCAGGGCTGCAGTGGGGCCCCTGGGAGCTGGACACTCCCAGCTACGGGGCCCAGGGTCGTCATGATGTGATGGGTAGACCCTGTGGAGGATGGGAACTGCGCCACTGTAAGAGCCCTGTTGGAGTTGTGGTTTCTTGGTAGGGGTGGGGGGGGCTTTTGGGAGCTTTAGTCCCAGGCTGCTGCTGGGTTCCTCCACAAATGGGCCCTCCCAGCCCCAGAAGCACAAGACAGCTGGCACCTTGACCATCACAAGCCTCTTGACCCACGGCTGGTCCTGGGGCCACGACTCCCCCACACAGAACCACAGAGTGTAGCGTGGGGAGTGTCCACTTCCTTCCATGAAGGCGATCAGATCTGGGAACCCAGGAGTCAGGTCAGAGAGGAAGGGACGACTCTACCCTTTTCATACACTCAACTTGCTGTCTTCCCTGGTAACGCACTCTACCACCACAGGCACTGTCTATCTGGAAAAGTCCCTGCCACACAACTCCTCATCCATGCCCCCGCCTTCCTTCTGCAGCGCTGTGGAAGTGAGATGCCAGCCCACTCCACCCAGAGGCTCAGCAGTGAGGAGGAGGGATTTCCTAGGAGCTCAGGGCTTTGGAGGCCCAGTGCAACATGAAGCTGGTTCCTCCTCACAGCTGGCATCCTAGCACTTAGGAGGCTTGGGCTACAAGTGAGACCCTTTCTCAAAATAGCTTTAAAATTCTCCATCAGCACTTGGCTCTTCTGGGTTCTCAACAGACCTATGTGTTTGTCCCATGGCAGATGCTGGGCTCATCGCTCCACAAAACTGCCGGGCAGCAGAACCCTAGGGACTTAACTTTTCCTGTAATTTGCCAAATCCTCAGCCCCATCACCATTCCTGTATTTACTATAATATGGTTGCCAGAGCTTCTTATGGTGCCTGTACTCCATTAGGTCCAACAGTTACAGCAGCCAGTCCCCCTGGTGGTAACAGCCTTTGTCACAGAACAGAGTAGCAAGGCTTTGAGTTCAACCAACCACCATGGTCTGTCAATTCCCATAGGGTACTCACCTGTCACAAAGGGCCCAAGGTCGAACACGCCTCCATCCTTGTCCTTGGGGACCTCTCCATCAGGCCCTCGCCCGCTGTCTGGAAGCAGCTCCTCGCCCAGAGCCCAGAAGGAATGAGAGTGACCCAGACGCTGGGCCCAGAGACACTGCCCTGACCTCCACAGTGCCAGCCCCTTGCCCAGCCCCTTGAGTACATGCCTCACATACTCCCTGGCAAGTCTGTCTGTCAGAAGCTCCTCAGGGTCTGGCAGGGTGACTGGCTGCCCAGGCAGTGTCCTGTTACTGTCGGTGGTGCCCACCAGCCGAAGGCCCCCAGGGCAAAAGAGCGTCTGCTGGAAGGCCTGGCGGCCTCGATAGAAGGCAGTCACTTCGAACTCCCATTCTGCGAGGGGCACGAAAGGGGAGACGTGAGGACCAGGGTGAGGACTGCCGTCCTTGCTGCAGCCTCCCTGCCCCATCGCCAGCACTCACGCTCCTCAGCTAGCAGCTGCCTCAGAGGGTTTTCCCGGGGTGCCAGGTGCGGGAAGTTGTCCAAATTGGGGCTCAGCAGTAGTTGAGAGTGATCAGGAACAATAGCCTGGCCTGAGGACCCCTCATCTGGGAGGGGCCTCAAGACCAAGTCACCCAGTAATTCCAAGAGGTCTTCCTGGAGGAAGTCAACAGCCTCAGGCAGAGGAGGAGGTCCGGGGTAAAAGCTGGGGGTGGGGACGGACAGGGCAAGGGTGAAGCACAGAACTGGTCCCTCCTCACCTGGGGATCAGACACACTGCTTATGCCACTGCTATCAGGGGAGGGCTCCAGATGTACAAAGTCTCTTGCTGCTGTCCAGAGAAAGGGTGAGTAGAAGGAAGGGCAGAGGTCCTCCTGATCCCAAGGGTCCTGTGACCCCCGCCCGACCCAGCCTGGTTACACACCTGGTGTCACAAACTCATACACTTTATGAGGGTCAAAAGGGTCCTTGCTCTGGTCATCAGCTAATCGCAGCACTTCCTTCCGGTTCAGGGCTGACCGGAAGTTCCTCTTCCAGGTCGACAGGTCCGGCTTATCCTTCCCTGGGGTGTAGGCGCCACTGGCTTCGGCCCAAGCCTGACATCAATGATTCCAGGATAGGAGGGGAGATGACTTAGACTCTGCCCCAAGGTCCTGACATCTCCCACCATGTTCCATCCTGTGGTTTCAGACCCAAGGTCCGTCTCACATTCACTGTGCGCCTGGGCTTTCCATCCCCATCTCTAACCTCTACTTTCTGCACCAAAAGGAATCCCCTTTGGTTTTGAAAGGGTTTCTCACACACTAACCAAAGCTGAGCCCCTGCTGATGCCTCCAGAGTGCTGGGATCACAAACTGCCACCATGTCCTCCAGCCTTGTTTTTCCTAAGCCATCCTTCTAGGACTGGGTGGTACCTCCCGCCACGACAACCTCTGGGGACCAGTCTCACATTCTATTACTGTCTCTAGTCCATGCTAAGTTAATAACCCATCCACAAGGCATTCTCAGACCTTAAGGTTTGAGGGTTCTAAAATCAAGAGCCTACTCCCAAAGATCTCCAACCCTCTGTAGCAGTAATTCTCAACCTTCTTAATACTGTGACCTTCTAATATAGTTCATGCTGTGATGACCTCAACCATATAATGATTTTCGTCACTACTTAGTAACTGTAGTTTTGCTACTGTTTATGTATCGTAATGTAAATATCTGATATGCAAACCCTGTGGAAAGGTCTCGACCCACAGGTTGAGAATCACTGCTATGGCCACCCTTAAGCAATCCAAAGGCCTTTAATCCCAGCACTCGGGAGGCAGAGGCAGGCGGATCTCTGTGAGTTCGAGACCAGCCTGATCTACAAGAGCTAGTTCCAGGATAGGCTCCAAAGTCATAGAGAAAACCCTGTCTCGAAAAAACAAAATAAGCAATCCAAATTTAATTTCCGGGTTCTATTCTTGGAGTCTGCCAATCAGTTCCTGTCCATCCCACTAGTCCCACCCACCTTCATTAGCAAGACCCCGCCCCTGCCTAGCCACGCCCAGGAACGCCTCTCTGAAGTCTCCCAAAGCCTTCCGGCCCCAGCACCTGGAAGATGCCAAAGTCAGCCATTTGGGCGTCCTGCCGTAAGCCATGCTTCCATGGAATCCGGAACCGAGTGCGGCTCTCATCCAGCCAGGCCACGCCTTCCAGCTGCCCCAGGTCCAGCTGCGACACCAGCCAGGGCAAGATCCGCGGTTTCGGGGTTCCCATGCTCGGGCCTGCGCATACGGGGCAGTTCGTGAGCCTGCGTGTCATAGGGCAAACGCACTCAAACCTCTCTGACCCGCCACAGCGCAAATCTTTCACCCATGCTTCCGTGGGGTACAAATGGGAAACTCCTTCCCACCTTTCATCCCCATTGGGACCGCCTTTGCTACCCTAGCGCCTTCGGTAGAAACTATGCCTACCCACGAATTCCTTCTCCTTTACCAGTGTAAACCCCTCTACTATCCCCAGCAGGTAACCCACTAACAGGGTGGAGTCTCTTTCCATAGTCTTTCCGAGACCGTGACTGCTCCCTTACCTACAGTTCCCTTGCACTGAAACCCCGTGCTTATTTCCAGAGTATTCTCTCAAGTGCCCCCAAGTGCAGTCGCCTCTCTCCAGCCTTCTTCTATTTTGATTTTTCTATATCCTTTTTTACGGATGTTACGAGACAGGGTCTTAGTACGTAGCATAGGCTGGTCTTGAACTCACTATGCAATCCAGGCTGGCCTGGGACTCACTACGTGGCCCAGGCTGGCCTGAACTCCACTGTAAACAAAGGTAGCCTCAAACGTATTCGGGAGCCAGGCCGGATTTCAACTCACGTAGCCCAGGCTAGTCGGGAGCTCATCCTGTGGTCCAGCTTGGCCCGGCTGTCTCTCACTGTGGAGCAGACTGGCCTTGAACTTGCGGCAACATTACTACCTTCGGCCTCCGACCTCGGCCGGCCCGTCTGGTTCTCGGCAGCCGAGCACCTGCGCGTCGGGGCTGCCCCAGCCTGCGCCCTGAGGCCGCCACCCGCCCGGTTCTTCCGCGTTACCTACCGGGGAGGGATCGCGCGCCCCTGGGGCTTCAGGGCTCCCAGTACTCCTGAGTCTCGCAGCCACGCACCCTGCCCCTCCTGTCAGCTAAGCCTCCGAGCGCTGGGACTTGCTTCTCTAACCGTATTTTGAGGTAGAAACAATTTTCTCATAATTTGGGTAAGAATCGCAAACGCCGAGAAGAAACTTCTGGGCGCAACCCAACTCTCGATGCCCTCTTTTGGCCTTTCCGCCCACAGGCATGCTGGGAACGCCGTATGCAAATGAGCTGCACCACAACGCCACGCCCCTTCAATGTTGGGGCGGTTGCCAGGTCGGCCCAGTGCGCAGGCGCGGGAAAGTTGAATTTACGAAGAAAAGTTGGTAGAAATTGAGTGAAAGCGCGGGAGCCAGCGCCAGCGCGACTAGAGCAGAACCCAGAACCAGGTGAGCGTGGTGCCAGCAAGAGACTGGAACAGAAAGGGGAGGGAACCAGTTTCATACGCGGCCACAGCCAGTCCTGCCTCTGACGTTCGAGCACCCGGGGTCTCCGGTGCTAGCCAGAGGTAGTTAGAACTACATCTCCCAGCAGGCTGTTCGGCGAAAAGCGGGGAAATCGGGCCAATGTGTGCCGCAGAGCGTACTGGGATTGGTAGTTCTTTATCCGCTAAGGACTTAAATACCTGAATGAGTGGACCTTTCAGGATGCAGGGCTGGGAGTTCCAAACCCCATCCCCTGTCCTGGATGTAGGAGTTTAAGCACTCAGCTTCCTCCTGCCTTAAAACCTCCTCTTTCCAGTCCCCCTTTCCTCGACGGAATCAACTGTCCCAGTGACCAACTTTTCTGTCTCCCGAGTTCTGGCGCCCTCTTCATTCAGGGACTCGGAAGTTTGAGTTTATCACCACACTTGGGTTCATCCTCCGTTTTCTCCTTCAGCTGCTTCCATGGCCGGCTCTGAAGAGCTGGGGCTCCGAGAGGACACCCTGAGGGTTCTGGCTGCCTTCCTGAGGCGCGGTGAAGCGGCTGGGTCCCCTGTCCCAGCTCCACCCAGGTGAGTGAGTGGCCTCTGCCCCAGGGTCAGCTTTTAATGGAAGGTCTTCCCCAGCCTCGGTCCTGGTCCCAGCCTGTCTCCTCCTTTCAGCTCTGACCCCATATACCTATCTCGAGTTTCGAGAGTGATCTTCCATGGGGTCAGTCCAAGGTTCTTGTCCCTAGGAGCCCTGCCCAAGAGGAGCCAACAGATTTCCTGAGCCGCCTCCGAAGATGCCTCCCTTGTCCCCTGGGGAGAGGAGCCCCTCCCCCGGAGTCCTCCCGACCCTGCTTTCTTCCCCTACGCCCCTGTTATGGCTCTCAGCCTGGTAAGAGATTTACCCGGGTCACTTGTGAAACTTTAATGGCTAGGAACTTTGGTTACAAAATCCAGACAGTACAAGGTGAACACCGCTCAGTTTTAGCACAGGCCATAAGTAACCCCCTCCTCTGTCGGGCTTCTTTCTAGGCAGTGTTGAGGCAGAGTCACACTTGCTGGAGCCGTCCTGCAACAGGCCGCCTCCTACTGAAATCACAGGCATTTCATTTTGGGTTTTTGTTGTTGTTCTTGTTTGTTTTCGAGACAGGGTTTCTCTGTGTAGGTTTGGCTGGCCTGGAACTCGCTCTGTAGACCAGGCTGGCCTAGAACTCACAGAGATCACCTGCCTCAGCCTCCCGTATGCTGGGATTAAAGGCCTGAGGCACCACTGCCCAGCTCTCTGCTTAGAAGTCTACCTTCCAGTTCTGTGGTTGACCAGCCAGAGGGTGCTCTGGCTCCCTTCTTAGGGAAGTATCTTTCCTTACTTAGTGCTTCCCTGGCTCTTAGGGAAGAGTTCTCTGTAACAGGGGCCATGGTTGTTAATCACAGCTCACTGGCCAGTTGGTAATCTGACTGGGCAAATCTCCTCCTTGTTCCCCCTTTTTTCAAGTGGCAGATAAAGACTGTAAGAAGGAGTATCAGTACTTGACTAATGATGGTCAGTAGCCCTGGGTGTGGGGGTGCATTGCTGTAGTCAGCAGGTGGGAGGCTGAGGCAGGAGGATTGCTGTGAGTTTAAGGCCAGCCTGGATTACAGAAAGCTAATGAGTCAGTAGAGTGCCTGCCTGGCATGCAAGGGGCCCTGTGTGCCGTTGCCAACAGCACGTAAGGCAATGGTGGCACACATCGGGGAGCAGAGGAGAGTCCCCTCCCACCACCTCCCAGCCCATTAGCTCTTATAACTTATTTTATTCATTTATTTTTCTTATTTTACATAGAGACCCCAGTTCCCTCTCCCTCCCTCCCATGCCCCTGGACCATCCTCCCATCCCACCCCACCCCCCACTCCACAGGGAGGGTGATGCCTGGAAAGGCTACCTCTAATGCCCTTCCCTGACAATGAGATGATTTATTTATTTTGTTTTGGGGACAGGGTTTCTGTGTGACTTTGGAGGCTGTCCTGGATTATAGCTTATTTTAATTTTTCTTTTCATGTAGGGCTGGCTTCGCGGCTTTTCCCTTTCTTTCATTCTGTATGTCCTGTTCCCCTGCTTACTCCGTGGCTGGCTGGCATGCTCCTCTCTCCCTTCTCTCTGGAGCCTAGATTTCCTCTTCCTACTCATTCTCTCTGCCTTCCAGCTCCTGCCTGTCCCTCTGCTGCATAGCTATTGGCCATTCCTCTTTTTATTAGACCAATCAGGTGCAAGCAAAGCAACACCTCTTTAGATAAACAAATGCAGCATAAACAAATGTACCACATCTTTGCCTAGTGAGCGTAATACTCCACAGCCATAGTGGAACTCACTCTGTACACCAGGCTGGCCTCAAATCTACAGAGATCCACCTGCCTCTGGCTCCTGAGTGCTGGGATTAAAGCCGTGGGCCACCATGAAGAGCATTGGATCTCGTGGATGTGGAGTTAAAGGAACTTGGGAGCCACCATGTAGGTGGTGGGAATTGAACCCAGATCTTCTGGAAGAGCAGCCACTAAACTGCTAGGTCATTCAGCCTCTGGTGTGCTTTTGTAGCCTTCATGGGCACCACACACCCAAGTGGTACACAGACACACATGCAGGCTGAACACCCACATATGTAGTATTAAGAAATAATTCTAAAGGACACACGTGATTAGATGGCTCACCTCAGCTGTGGAGCTGAGTCTGGTCACTTGCTGCCTGTGACCTGTGACCTGGACCAGGGGTAAGGTGCTCATGGCAGGGTGCTATGTGTTTGCCCTTATTGGGTAAAATAATCTCCAGAGTCTAGGTTGAACATTCTGTTTAATTTGAGGGTGCAACAAAGTAGAAAGGCTGAGGATTTTGACATCTTCTACCAAATTCTCTCATGGCCTCAGTTTACCCTTGTGAGATGGAAATTGTTCCTGTCTAGTAAGATGGTGTGGAGGATAGAATCCGTAGCATCCTGTTCTGTAGGCGCAAAGACTTATTCTTTCCACCAGGCCCAGCTACTTCAGACTTCTATGCCCTGGTCGCCCAGCGTCTGGAACAGTTGGTCCAAGAGCAACTGAGGTCTCCGCCCAGCCCAGGTAGGTGGCGGAGGAGTCTAGAGACCAGAGAGAGCGCCAGTGAAGCCAGGCCTCTCCTTAGTGCAGCTCTCTTCTGCCTCCAGAGTTCCAGGGCCCTCCGTCCACAGAAAAGGAAGCCCTGCTGAGGAGGCTGGTAGCCTTGTTGGAGGAGGAGGCAGAAGTCATCAACCAAAAGGTGATGGATGGATGGGCCTGTGCTCCATGCCTTGGAGAGCGCAGCTGTGGGGTAGGGCAGAGGCAGGAGCTGTGTTGTCTTGGTGAAGGGTGAGGCTCCGGGGCTCCAGTGAACACTATATCATTCTTGCCGGAGCTTTGGAGCCTCACCACAGTAGGACTTGAAACCAGTGCCCTTCATGGACCGTCAGCATGCAAGGGGGATCTAGTCAACAGAACCCACCAGAGGCATTAGCGATTGGCTCAGTGACGGAGCCCTTGCCTAGCAAGCTGAGGTCCTTAACTCTGCTCTCCCTTACCCTCTCCCCCAACTAAAATACTCAAAACCAAAGAACAGCAAACAAACAGAAACTTGAGCCAGGTAAGAGACTGGCTGTTAGCAGGTGTGTAACATTTGATTGTAGTGAACATGGTGGCACACAACTTTCCTCCCAGCACTCTTGGAATGTGAGGCAGGAGGATTGCCACTAGTTCAAAGTTAGCCTGAGCTCCAGAGAGAGTTCCAGGACAGCCCAGGCTATACGGGTGACCTTGTTTTAACAAAACAAGGTGGGACTTGGGTGCACACTTTTAATCCCAGTAGTTGGGAGGCAGAGGCAGTGGATCTCTGTGAGTTCAAGACCAGCCAGGGCTACATAATAAAGCCCTGTCTCTAAAACAAACAAAACAGCCCCGACTGACTACAAAGGAGGAAATGCCACTAGAGGTGGGCATTGCTTCCGAGTTCCTTGGAATCTGACATAACATCGATTATCTGTGTAGAAAACAAAAGCCTCAGCCAGGCAGTGGTGGCACACACCTTTATTCCCAGCACTCAGAGGCAGAGGCAGCCGGGTCTCTGTGAGTTTGAGAACTACAGAGCTAGTTCCAGGACAGCCTTCAAAGCCACAGAGAAACCCTGTCTCAAAGAACCAAGGGGAAAAAAAAAGAAAAAGAAAAAAGAAAACAACTCTTTTTCCTCTTTCTTGAGACAGGGCTGTCCCAGAACTCTCAGTAGATCAGGTTGGCCTTGAACTCAGAGATCCACCTGACTCTTCCTCCCGAGTGCTGGGATCACATCAGTAGAGGGCACCAGCTCGAATTATAGATGGTTGAGCCACCATGTGCTGGGACTTGAACTCAGACCCTCTGGAAGAACAGTCGATGCTCTTAACCTCTGAGCCATCTCGCCACCCCGCTCAGGGACTCTTGACTATAGGAGAATTTACTGTTTAGAACTCAGAACTGTACTTGCCTCCGAGTCTAGGCCCCCTCCCTGGGAGCCCACTGGTTAAGGCCATGGAGCTTAGAAGCAGTAACTAACACTGCCCCCCCCCCCCCCCCCCAGCTAGCTTCTGACCCAGCTCTGCACCGTAGACTGGCTCGCCTGTCCGCTGGCTCATTTGCCCGCCTTGTGGAACTCTTCTCCAGCCGGGAAGTCAGCTCCTCCCCAAACCGTGCGAGCCCTTCGCTGTCGTGCCCAGCACCCCCACCGCCATCCCCGGAACCGCTGGCCCGCCTGGCTTTGGCCATGGAGCTGAGTCGGCGCGTGGCCGGACTCGGGGGTACCCTGGCTGGCCTCAGCGTGGAGCATGTACACAGCTTTGCGCCCTGGATTCAGGCCCATGGGGGCTGGGTAAGTGGCACACACCCTGCCAGGCTTCAGTTTACCTACTGCCATCTGATGGGCGATAGCTTAGGTTTCCTTCCAGAATTTCCAGCTCTTCCATTCACCTCATGTGTTTATTGAGCACTTGCTGTGTGCCAGGCACGTTGCTGAGTTCTGATGCCCATCATGATCTAGCAGTTGTGAGAATAGCTCATATAGCTCCCCAGTCCCCTTATCTTTTTAGGGTGATTAGTGGATTCTTCAGGGATGCTTGTGACCTCTGCTTCCTATGCTGATAATCAGCCCGGTGAGGTCTTCCCTGGACCCTATTTACTATTTTATACACAAAGTAGAAATAAATCTACTTGGCATAGTACCTTACTTTTAATCCCAGGACCCAGGCAAGCACATTTCTATGAGGTCAAGGCCAGTCGGGATAGATATAGGGAATTCCAAACCAGCTAGAGCTATATGGTGAGACCTGGGAGGTGAGGGAATAAGGGGGCATTGGATGGTGCCTAGTGGCACAGGCCTGTCACCCCAGGTACCAAAGAATGTGCAGGTTTAGCCAGGCAGTGGTGGCACACGCCTTTAATCCGAACACTTGAGAGGCAGAGGCAGGCGGATCTCTGTGAGTTTGAGGCCAGCCTGGTCTACAGAGCAAGTTTTAGGACAGGCTCTGAAGCAATACAGAGAAACCCTGTCTCAGGAAAAAAAGCAAAAACCATGAAGGTTTAAAGACACCCCGGCTTCAGAGTAGGTTCAAGGTTAGCCTAGGCAACTGAATGAGATCTTGTCTCAGAATATTAACAAATGAAGGTTGGGATAAACGTCAGTGGTAGAGTCCAGCACATCAGAAGGGGAGAAAAGGACACACAGCCATGGGAGGGCCTTTGATCACCCTGAGATGGGCACTCTGGATACAGATTGTCTGTGCATTGCCCCATCTAGCCTTGGGGATGGACCTGGAGAGGCCTGGAGGTGGGTGCTAGTCCCAGCAGGAAGGACTGTGGATTCCAGTGGTTGATGAGGCTGTAGGTTCTCTCAAGACTGAATATGGGCACCAGGCCAAAGATGCTGTTATCGGTAGGGTTCCTCCTGCATCCCCTGGGATAGGGAGGTAGGGAGTCATGGAGGAGTCCAGACCACACTGGAGCAGAATGCGGAGAGGATGGACATGTGGGCTCCTCCAAGAAGCTGGCATACCTGCTTCTTTTAGCAGACGACAAGAGCTCATGGGGAGGCCAGAGGCTGGCCACAGTTAAAGGACAGGCCTTTGAGCAGACTGAAACCAGCTCAGAATAGCCAGCGCTGAATTACCTGTCCCACTTTGTGTCTGTCAGTGTCTTCCCATCCCTAGTGGGCACCTGGTCCCATCTCTCTGGGCCCCAGTCTCCTTCCCTGTATCACAGAGTGGTGTCATGGCTCTCTGTCCCCTACAGGCAGGCATCCTGGCCATCTCTCCTGTGGACTTGAACTTACCCTTGGACTGAGGCCCCCTCTGAAGCCACTGCAAGACCGGCCTCAGGGTCTGATGACACACACATTTCCTCTCAGGGCTGTGGGGTGGTGGCTGCTATGCCGCTTTTTTTTTGCCAAAAAGATTGTTTAGAGATGTCTCCATATTAAAAGCTTTGTTCTTCACCTAGAGCACTCAAGTGTTTGTTGAGTGTGTGAGTTTACATGTGTGTACATGTGCATTTGAGTGGACTGGAATATATATGGAGACGAGAGGTCAAGGTTGGGGTCTTTATCACTCTACCTACTTTTTTCTTTGGTTAAAGCTGGGGTCTCTCTGTGTGGCCCTGGTTTTCCTGTGACTCATGATTCCTGAGTGCTGGGATTCACACCCTGTGGCAGCACTCAGGAGGCAGAGGCAGGCAGATCTCTGAGTTGGAGGCCAGCCTGGTCTACAGAGTGAGTTCCAGGACAGCTGGGGCTACATAGAGAAACCCTGTCTTTAAAAAAATCAAATTAAGACCAGGCGTTGGTGGCACCCACCTTTAGTCCAAGCCCTTAGGAGGCAGAGGCAGCCAACTCTCTCTGAGTTCCAGGCCAGCCTGGTCTACAGAGCAAGTTCCAGGTCAGGCTCCAAAGCTCCACAGAGAACCCTGTCTTGAAAAAGAAAAGTCAAAGATTATTAATTTTTATGTGTATGTATGTGTATTTTTATGTGTATGTATGTATGTGTATTACATGTGTGCAGTGCCTACAGAGGCTACAAAAAAGGTATAACACAGTGATCTCCAAGCCTGTGTGTGTGTGTGTGTGTGTGTGTGTGTGTATGTGTGTGTGTGTGTATGTGTGTGTGTATGTGTGTGTGTATGTGTGTGTGTGTGTATGTGTGTGTGTGTATGTGTGTGTATGAGTGTGTGTGTGTATGTGTCTGTGTGTGTATGTATGTGTATGTGTGAGTGTGTGTGTGTATGAGTGTGTGAGTGTGTGTGTATGTGTGTGTGAGTGTGTGTATGTGTGTGAGTGTGTATGTGTGTGTGAGTGTGTGTATGTGTGTGAGTGTGTATGTGTGTGTGAGTGCGTGTATGTGTGTGTGAGTATGTGTGTGTGAGTGTGTGTGTGTATGTGTGAGTGTGTGTATGTGTGTGTGTGTGTGTGTGTATGTGTGTGTGTGTGTGTGTGTGTGTGTAAGTACAAGGGAGGAAGGTGCCAGGAAAAGACACTGCACCCTCTAGCGCTAGAGTTACAGGCAGTTAGCTGCCAGGTACAGGTCCTGAGAGCAGAACTTATGTCCTCTGCAGACAAATCTGTTAACCACTGAGTAGCCTCTCTAACTTCAGCTTATTGATTTCTAAAAATAAGATTTCTATTTTAAAAATACATACACAGGTGTGTTGAGGGGTGTGTGTGGGGTATATGGGTATGCATGCAGCCGCCATCGGGTCCCCTGGAACTGGAGTCACAGCATTTGCGGCTACCTGACATGGAGCTGGGATCCTGCACCTACCCTGAGCTCTCCCAGCCAGTGCTTAACCGCTTTTGTGACCCTGGCGAACAGCTTGGGAATCCCGGATGGTTCTGAGATTTAGCCTCGTCGAGTTCCCGAATCTCAAGAGCGTTCCCTCTTCTCACGTTCAATCTGGGAGAAACAGGTACACATCTGGCTTATGGCAGCCAGCGCCCAGACACACTGTTTTTCTTGTGTTGTTTTTTGAGGTGCTATTGGTGGCACATCCTTCAGCTAGACCAGTGTCCTCACCCTTCCTAATGCTGCGACCCTTTAAGACAGTGTCTCATGCTGCGGTGACCCCAGCCGTGAAATTATTTTCATTGCTACTTCCTAACTGTAATTTTGCGACTGTTACAAATCATAATGGAAATGTTTCCCAAAGGTTTAGGTGACCCTATGAAAGGGTTGCTCACCCCCAAAGGAGTGGTAGCACTCTTTAGACATTGCTTGAGAGGTATAGCTGTTAGAGGAGTCACAGGTTCCATGGGTACAAGCTCCGCAGTGCATGCTGCGGCAGGCCTATAATCCCAGCACTTAGACGATCAGGGGTTCGAAGTCATTCTCAGCTACTTAGTATGTTTAAGGCCAATGTAGGCTACATGAGTCCTTGCTTCAAAGACCCCAAATTGGGGCTAGAGCAATGGATCTATCAGTGTAATGTGTTTGCTGCCTATGCATAAAGACCTGCACTCAATTCCCAGCACCCACTGAAAAGCTGGGCACAGAGGTCAGTCATCCCAGCACTAAAAGTCAGAGACAGGATCTCTGCAGCTTGCTTGCAGAGGCTCCAGATTCACTGAGGCCTCTTCTCAAAAAATAAGGTGGATAATAATAATAATAATAATAATAATAATAATAATAAATGTGGTGCCTGGCATGGCAGCAATGGCTTTAATCCTAGCACTTGACAGGCAGACACAAAGGGATCTCTATGAGTTCCAGGCCAGCTCTGAAAATTAAAGTACAAAGCCCAGCACTCAGGAGCAGAGGCAGGCAGATCTCGAGGCCAGCCTGGTCTACAGAGTTAGTTCCTGGACACCCAGGGCCACAGAGAAACCCTGTCTCATAAACAACAACAAAGTACAGAGCAATCTAGGAAGGCATTTTCACCACAACCTCTGGTTTCCACATACTTGTACAGCCAGAAACAAAATCCAAATTAAAAAAAAAAAAAAATAAGGTGCACGCCTTTAATCCCAGCTTTCAGGAGGCAGAGGCAGGCAGATCCCTGTGAGTTCATGGCCAGTTTGGATTACAGAGTGAGTCCCAGGACAGCCAGGACTGTTTCAGAGGGAAACCCTGTCTCAAAAACAAAACAAAAAAAATCTACGTTGGTAGCCATCTGAATGCCTGAATGTGTCAGGTTATTAAAACCTCTTGTCAGAGTGGTTGGGTGGAAGTCAGAATGCCCAGTATTCACTAGCTACAGATAAAGTCTCTTGTCCTGGGAGAAAAGCAAGTTTGATCTCCAAAGAGGGGCACAGTGTGAATTGACATGGACCATGAGGGTGGCAGGGGCCCCAGGTAACTAGGATGAACTGTTAACGCTGAAGTGAATGGAGGGGTTAAAGGATTGAGACATCGTTTGGGGGAGAGGCGCGGGGGGGGGGGGATGCTGGGAGGCCCCAAACGGCAGGGGTGAGCTGTAGGGCCTGGCAGGTGGGAGCACCAGGGTCGGAGAGAAGGGGTGTGGGGGACTAGGAGGGAAAGGCCCTTGGGCTATTGAGATTTGGGAAGGAGTAGCAGGAGTCAATCAAGACATCGTACTGAACGGGCGATGGTGGAGCACACTTTTAATCTCAGTGCTTGGGAGGCAGAGGCAGGAGGATGTCCGAGTTCCAGGACAGCCAGGGCTACACAGAGAAACTCTTGTCTCGAAGACAACACAACAAAGAAAAAGAAATCATACTGGCTGGGGGAAGTTTACCCACGCCTTAAATCCCAGCCCTTGGGAGACAGGCAGGCTGGATATACATGACGAGTTCCAGGCCCATGGTTACACTGTAAGACTCTGCCTGAAAAAACAGGTCACACCAGATACCTTAAGTGTTAAGAATCTGCAGCAGATGGTGCAGGTTCTTGCCGCTAAGGACGTGACACACAAGCACACTGAACAAAGTACAAGTGTTAGGAGTCGGAAGGAAGCAGGTTCATGAGGCCCGGACTGGAGAGGCACATTTGGGAATTTAAAGGATCCTGTGCTTGGGCCAAGTACTGGTGAGACAAGAGTTAAGAGGCAGGTGCACGAACCCAGCAACTGGCATCCATCCTCAGGCAACGAGTAACTTTCTGCAGATGCAGGGAAACTTCCTGGAGGAGATGGCGTCCACACTGCCCGTGATTGACGTGTAGGAATTGGCCAAACAAAGGGAGATGGGTGTTTCCTGCAGAGGACTAGGAGGCCACAGGTCTTCACAAAGTGGCACGGTCCAGTACAAGGGTATGGCTCATCGCACTGACGCTCACTACGACTCCTGACAAGTTTCAGGACCCCAGACCAGAACGCTACCACGTCTACTGCCAGGGATTCGGGATTTCGCAAAGCTCGCGCCCGGGCCCCAGTTGCTCCTGAAACCTTCCCAGCCCGGAGCGTGCACCGAACGTTGGTGACCGATATTCCTGGGAGCCAATCGCTGCTGTCCTAAGTCCGGCCTGACTCCTTGTGGGCCAATGGCCCCTGCTGTTCTTCAGCAGTCCCTCGAAGGGACTGGAGTAAGAGCCATGCAACGTCACCGTTTGCTCAGCTAATGGCAACGACGGAGAGGCGGACCATCTTAATGATCGACGGCCGAGTTTCTCGACATCCGCTTAGCGCAGAGCCCGCCGGGAAGCTTCGAGGCGGAGCTGGCCGGAAGGAGGCGGGAAGACCCGATGGGGAGATGATCCAATCATCACATGGGCTGCTTAAGACGGACAGACAGTTGTTCCCTTCCTAGCGGACGGGAGGGGGTGGTCCTTTGAACGCTGGGAGGGGCGGGCACTTGAGATTTGATAGACGTGCTTGGCATCCAATTGCAGTGTGAGCCTTTGGGATTGACGGCTGGGCCAGCCAATAAAGACGGATGGCGGGGTCTCGGGGGCCGGGCGGTGGACCCTCTGGTAAAAGGCGGTCCCCGGTCGGGGGGAGAGAGAAGAAAGGGGGGGGTCTCGGAGGCCGGAGGACTTGGGTGAAGATGGCGGCAGCCGAGGCCGCGAACTGCATCATGGAGGTGAGTGGCTGGGCTCTTCGGGCCGGCGGGGAGGGGGCGACGGGCTACCCGCGGCCCGAACTGCGGACGCGGGGCCTGGGGCGTGCCGGGCCCCGCGGGGGTCGGCATCGGGGGACGTGTCCGATCGCGACGGGGGTGACCCCGGCTCTCGGGGCTCTCGGACCCCGCAGTCGAGTCGAGGGCCGCCGCACGTGGTCGCGGGCCGGGGGCGCGTCCAGCCGGGCCGCACGTGGCCGCGCCGCGCCGCGCCGCGTGGGGAGGGGGGTGTGCCGCTCCAGGGGCCCCGCGGGCTCCACGTGCGGGACAAAGGCCCCGCCCCCGGCCCGGCCCGGCCCGGCCCGGCGCCCTGGGCTGCAGCCCCGGGGCCCTGGGCTGCCGCCTGCCGCCTGCCGCGCGCTCACCCGGGCCGGGCTCGGGACGCCCGTGCACCCTCGCGGGGCC